AGCTATCTTTCTCATACTTGTGAAGGAACACCAGAGCCGGAAGTGGAATACCGCCCTTGTACTCCCACGCTCTTAACACCGTGCTCCACGACGATGCTGATAAACCTCATCTTTTAGCTTGCTATTATTCATCGGTCTATACAACAGAGGTGCCGTCAGTTGATTGTCATTCGTCCTTGCTCTCTGTTCTCAGTGATATGGACATAAATGTTAGTATGGTATCCAAACTTTTGTGCGAGCTGGATCCAAACTCTTCCCCGGGACCTGATGGATTGCATCCTCTTTTCAGCTCGGGTGGTCTGTTCAGATTGTGTTCTGTTCTCCGTGCTGAACAGTTTCGTTGTAAACGTTTCATCACCAATCGCGGTGACTTCTTCAGTGCGTAATAAGCAAAATGAGTTGTTTTGTCGAGTCTTACCAACGAGCGAGTAGCATTTAAACCTGCTCACTTCGATTCAGGTCCCGTGACCATTGCTAGTTCGGAGTTCGAGCGCCGCCTCTTTTCGACTCATATGCCAAATGATCCTCTTTTCCTCAAGATTGTGGCCGAATATATTGCTGTTCCTATTTATCACGTATTTCAGCGCTCACATGAGGCCGAGCGTTCATTGAGTGGCAGAGAGCAGAAGGGAAGTCTCGTGTCAGCGCCTTTACTTCCCGATCTTCCAAGGATTGCAGCCTTAGTAGCTGTGGCATACCTCACGATGTAGTGTCAGTCCTGCAGGATCCTGGAGTACTCAGAAAGAATAAACCTAGCAAACGTTTGAAACTCGCTTCTGAGCATTGACAATCGGGTTCGGAAGCCGATTCAAATCATTAATTACTCGTGTAGAGAGAGCAACATCTGAGCGGACTTTGAACCTCCTCGGTTTAAAAAGCTTCCAGTTGTGACCTCGAGTCGAACTGGCAAGTCTAAGTTGAAAAAACTGCCTCAGCTCGTTTCAGAGTTCTCCTCGTAGGATACGCCTAGTATGGATGGTCTCCGCGACGTCTGCGAAAGTCTAAGGGAAAAAGGTTCATCCTCTGTAGTCGGGTGGGATACGAGAGTTCGCTTGGCCCAAGGACAAATTTCGAGGCTCGTCGCTATATTTTTTCTATCTTGTCACTTTCATGCTTCGACAGAGCTATGGCCGGAAGTCCGAATTCAAGGATGGGACGGATGTGTGAGGTGAAGAGAAGTCTAAATATCTGCAGCGTCATTTTAGAGAATGATCTACTTATGATGCCCTACATCCTGTTTGCCGTATCAGTTTTCTTTAATGTGTCACGGGTAGTTTCGAGGTCAGAGGATCCTAGTGTCCCCAGGTCCTTTTCGTGTGTGGCAATCTTGAGTAAGTGTCCCCCAAGGTGATAGGTGCCCAGTGGTTCAGCAGCATCGATGGATAGGACAGAGCAGTTATCTTTGTTGACCGGCAAACCCCACTTGAAAGACCAAGCGTGTAGTAGATCAAACGTTTCCTGTAATCAGTCGGCGTCTTCGAGGCTGGACACTTCCGAGCATGGCTTGAGGTCGTCTGCATAGATCAGACAGTCCGTTTGTAGCATACTTGGTGGGTCATTGATGTATATCTTGAACAATTCCGGTCCGAGAACGGAGCCTTGTGGTACGCCTCTGGACATAGGCACTGGAAATGAAAGGGCATCGTTCACCTTGACTTGCATGTTCCGGCCTTGCAAGAAGTCACTGGTCCATAGTAGGACGTTTCCTGTTATGCCAATTCCGTAGAGCTTAGAGAGTAGTTCCTGATGAGGAACCCTGTTGAAATCGATGAAGACTACTTCTAAACGTTTTGCAATGTCCATTGACTTAGCCCACTTCTCTCATGCGACCAGCAGGTTAGTGTTGCAGGAACGTCTCTTTTGGAAGCCATGCTGAGTAGATGAAGTGATGTTCAGATCTTCGCATGTCGGTGGATGGCAAACTTAATGTGGTTTTCCATGATCTTGCAGGCGACCGATGTCAAGAAAATTGGCCGACAGTTCACAGGGTCCTGGCGGTTTTCACCCTTGTATTTCGGCATAACTACACCCGTCTTCCAATCGACAGATAGTCGACCAGCTTTAAGGAGGAGCTGAAAAATTTGACAAAGTGGGACGGCAATGAATTCTGCTACCATCTTGAGAAAATGTGGGTGTGGCCCGTCTGGGGGTAGTGAAGAAGGAGTTCAGTTCTAATAGTAACTTCAAGGTAGCACCTGAATCGATTTGAGATGTTCCAGAAGTACTGTATGTGCAATTACACGATTGCCAGTTTGTCTCTGTGTATATTGAGAACTGTAGAGCCAAGAGGTCAGCTTTGGCATCATCATCATAGTGTATCATACCTGGCACATCCGCAAACAATACAGGAATTCCACAGACGGCCTTGGAAGACCTGGTAAGGTATGAGAATAGTTGCTTTGGCCTAGAACGAGATTGTCCAACCAAGCTATGCTCGTAACGTTGTCTCTTTTCAAGTTTCTGCAAGGAGCAGAAGTTCCTGACGGCCTTGTATTTAGTGTAGTCTGAGTCTAGGCGGAAAAGTTTGAATTTGTCCCATGGTTTTCGGGCGTCTTCCGCTTGCCCGGAAAGTGGACGTAGTCAAGGCCACATACAAAGGAGGAAATCGACAAGATCCTACAAATTATCGGCCCAACTGTTGTCTGCAAGGTTATGGAGAGGATTCTCAAACGAGCTCTCAAGCTGCATTTCCAGAACCACAAGATCATTTCAGCTGCGCAGCATGAGTTCCTTTGTTCGTGTTCATGTGTCACCAATCTTCTGGTAGCTCGAAAAGTGGGCTAAATCCATGGATGCTGGTAAGCGGCTGGATCTCGTATTTGTGGATTTCAGTAAAGCTTTTGACAAGGTTCCACACAAAATTTTGCTTAGCTAACTTCACAGTATTAGTGTCACAGGAAAAATCCTCACTTGACTCACTGATTTCCTGCATGGCCGCGCTTTCCGTGTGAAAGTAAATGAGTTCCTTTCCTTCTCTGTAAAAATGACCAGCAGTGTTCCGCAAGGATCTTTTCTTGGCCCTGAAGTTTTTAGCCTTTATTAATACCCTGGCGTCTGTACTACAGGCAGGTTGCTTGATTTATGTAGATGATTAAAAGCTATGGATGGGAGTCTCCTGTGTGGATGAAGCTGATGTACCACAAACAAGGCTCGATTCGCTGCATGATTGGTCGATCAGGTGCCAATTACCTAGAGTTCACGATAAATGTTCCGTTTTGCTCATCGATGCCTCCGAACCATTTGGAATTTATCATATCGGTGGGTTTTAGCTGCCAAACTCGAACAGTAAGGGATTTTGGCGTCGTTGTGACCCCAGACCTAAAATCGTCTGAAGATGTCTTGAGGAAAGTCGCTTCTGCTAACAGGTTGTTTTTCGTTATAAGACGATCCTACTCCCGATTGACTCAGGAGATCTTCAGGATCGTGTACCTCCGATTCTTGGGTATGGACTGCCCGCTGTCTATCCTCTTTCCAAATTTGAATGCAACTTGATGGTAAAAGTGCAGCGGAGAGGACCTAAATCCATTATGGAGTTACGAAACCTGCCTTACTTACATCGTCTTCAGCGCCTGAACTTGTTCTTCCGATATATATATATATATATATATATATATATATATATATATATATATATATATATATTATATGGTTGGCGGCATCCGGTTTCGGATTTGCCTGTCACTGTGGCAAGCCACAGGACGCCTGCGCCTACAGAGGGACGATGGATGGCTTGCGCTGCACCACCCACAGCTCCAACCACATACCCCATATCCAGTCTAAACCCGAAGGAATAAGACCGGGAGGCATGCGGATGGGAACCACGTTTCATCAACGGAGCCGGCCCACACTCCTTCACAGGCAAACACAAGCACGCTGTATTTGGGGAATCAAGCGCACACAAGGCGGTGGCTGGACCGTAGTCCGCTCCACACTGAGTGCATGGAACCGCTCTTTGAGCCTAGCACGGCCACAAGAACCGTGCACTCCGTCCCCTCCAGCAACGACCAACTGTCTCCTGGAGCCAGTATGAACGATGTAGTGGGTAATAGACAGGTAGGCACCTTGTCAACATACACATCAAGCGCAACTATACCAGGGATATCAAACAACAGCCATTCACCTTAAACGACAAGCTGAAATAAAATAAATCCAATAATGCATACAGATACGGTGGCATAACTCTTCGCTAAATTACCATATGAAGTAATTTGGTTAGCAACAAATCCGTGATAAGTAAGAAATGTCCACAAGCTACTTAAAATGCTACAAACGCAACAAAATTACCGAAGATGAGCGCAGTTAGTGTAAGCAACGTGGCCAGTTAATAGAACATTATTCAGGGAGGCAGAACGAACCAAATAAAGCGGAGTGAAATTTATCCAGCTTAAAAAGACCTAGTTTAAGTGTAAGTTGGTTTAGCCCAACATACATACATAACATGGCTGTGATAAATTTGGGTCCATCGCTGGCCAGCTGTTACACACCAAATGTCAGCAGACGCTCGCCGTTGTCAGTCCGTCCGGAGTTAAGCCCATAATTAACCTCCAGCTGAGTTGAAGAGCTCAGACGCCCCACTTGTGCGTTCATATCCCCAACAAATAATGTCTGAACCAGTTGCACAGCGCAGTAGCGCGTTCAGTTTGCGATAGAATGTGCCCTTGGCAGCATTAGAACTGCAGTAGGTGGGAGCATAAGCGGAAATCACCAACAAACAGCGTTATGTACTACTTCATGAATCAATCTTAATTCAGGTCGTCAAACGGGCTGCACACAAGAGCCCGACAGCAAGAAGTCGGAAGGATGGCTGCGATCCGGTTCAGTAGAAATGAATGCTGTTTCGTTTCCTACTCACAACCAGAAGGCACCGGGAGGACGAGCTCGTTTAGCCATTTACCAATCTGGGTAACAAAACCTACCCGAAGCATAGTTCGAATTCGAATGCGCAGCGACCACTCTGTGATCAAGAACCCATGTACGTCAGAAAGCGCAACGGAAACAAGTGAGACCACTGATATGTATATATATAAAGTATAAAGGATCAACCAAGCTTGATTTGCAATTCCTTCGCTTTGGCCTTCTCTAGCTTTAATATCCTCGCCAGTGATTTTGAACCCAATTGGCCACCACCCCAATGCTTTCTAATCTGAACAAGAGATGAAGCCAAATAGGTTCAACAAACCTCTTCGAAGCGTGCTGTGTAGTTGTTTTTGACTGTTTCGATGACTTTCGTCATGCGTGACTTATCCTCCCTGAAGTAAACAGTAAAACATAAGCGGACTAACTCTTTTACTGCAGTAAAAGCTAAACAAGTGCATGTCTTCCTGTGAACGAGCAAACCCAGCTTAGCTTTTCCTTTCACAATGCAGTAAGGCACACCCATTTTCCTGCACAAAGAAGGGAGAAAGAGTATGATTTCGATGGGGTCGACATCGTGAGCAATTAACACCAAACGCGCTTTCTTCTGTTGAATGGCAGCTGTCACTTCTCGGATTCCAGCTTTTAGTGCAGGTTTCCTGAGCACAGGGTCATCAGGTTTGCCTTCAGCACGAAGCTGGGCGCGATGGAGAAGCATCATTTTCTTAGCTTTTTTGCTCAATGGTCGGTATTTCTCAGCTAGATTGAACACTTGCAAGCCTTAAAGTAGAAAAAGGATGCTTAATGCTTACTAGTGGAACGGTCGAGGGTTTGCGAAAATTGGTGGATAGGTGGTGGAACTTTCAAACGACGCTTGAGAATTGCGCGTTTTCTCTGTAGCTCTACGTACTTCGGCCATTTGACAAAACGGTAAAGATCCCTCTTTGGCTGGATATTTTGACCAATACAAAAGTTCCGCGGACGACTCTGGATTAAGGGGTTTTTTACGATTTTTTTCTTAGGAGCAGTTTTCTTTGCTATCTCCGGTAGAGCAGCGATCTTTGACTGTTTCCCCTTCTTCAATGGGCTAACAACCGGTACTTCGGGTGCTATAGGTTTTATTTTCTTCGCTTTGATAATCTTTTTTGGTTTGTTAGGCTAAAAGCGACCAAGTAACGTATACGGCAAAACTCACCATCTTGGGAGCGTTGGATGGCACGTCGGAAAAACGCTTGTCAGGCGGGAGTACTGCAGTACAAATTTGACGTAGCAGCCATATGTAATCACATTTGTTCTAACTTTTACGTTGACATACAACCGTGCAACAATGAATATTTCTTCTGCTGAACTTAAAGTGGCATAGGCCTTTGCGCGCGCTTAAGTACATGTATATAGGGTACATTGGAACATTGGAACATTGTATTTAATGGGAATAAAAGCTGGAGCTTTACATGACCCATAGGGTAAAAAGAGTACGGGTCGGGTTTAATGAAAGGCCAAGCAACCTTATAGCGGGTTGGACTCGCGTGTTAGCCGTATCTTCATCGGGCTTATGTGGCATTTAAACAGAATGCACGCCGGCTCAAAGCGAGACATCCCACCACGCCCTCCGAAACGGCTTTGGAAAGGAAGGTGGAAGAAAAAAAAGAAGAAGGAAATTCCATCCAGTAGAATGTAGTTAAATTAGGGAATATCGCGGTGTAGCTCGACCAGATGACAGTCCAAGCGGGCCTTAAAGTCCGCCACAGTGGGTGCCAAGACTAAATCGGCCGGCAGAGCATTCCACGGTCGGCAGATTCGCAAAGAGAAGTAGTGTCGTCTGCAGTTCAGCCGACTGTGCTGATGTGTGAGCCTCAGTGGGTGGCCACGTAGGTGGGAGCCCGATTGGTGCAGTGTGAGTAGGTGGCGACAGGGATGTCCAGGGTTGGATAAGATCATGAATACGAGGATCAGGTCACCCCGTAGACGTCGGTACTTAAGCGAGTAGAGGCCCAGGCACTGAAGTCGTTGTGGATAATCTAGGTGCTTGAGACCTCGGACCAGTTTGGTTGCTCGACGTTGTGGGGCTTCGAGTATGCGTTGGTCCTTCAACAACCAAGGACTCCAAGCCTGAATAGCGAACTCCAAGTGGGGTCGGAGAAAAGCGTTAAGGAGGAGGCGGAAATTGCTGGGGTCAATTTGACCGAAGGCTCGTTTCAGCAATCCCAACATGCGGTTAGCAGCAGCAGCTGCTTTCCGGCAGGAAGCGGATACGGAAAGACTCGTCTGGGTAATGATACCCAAGTCTCTTTCGGCTGAAGAGATCTGGAGGATAGACGCTCCCAGGTAATATACAGGAGAAAAAGCGGAAGGGCGGGTAGAAAGGACGCGACATTTCGAAGCGTTAAATGGAAGGTTATTTTCTATGGACCACTGATTTAGACGGTCGAGGTCCATCTGAAGTGCGTGGGCCTCGTCCGGAAGGTTAATTGTGCGCCACAGCTTGGCGTCATCCGCGTATAGTAGCAGCGAGGACTCCACTTGCGGTGTGACGTCGTCAATGAAGGCTAGGAAGAGGTGCGGTCCGAGAACAGACCCTTGTGGAACTCCGCTTGTGGCAAGGATGCGGGGAGACAACGCTTCGTCGACGCGTACTTGGAAGGTACGGTTTTGGAGGTAGTTCCGGATCCAGTCCATCAAGTCCCCTGAAACGCCGTAAGATGACAGTTTCCGCAGCAGAATCTTGTGGTCGACCTTGTCGAAGGCTTTGGCGAAATCCAGAAAGATAACATGCGTTTCTTGGCCAGAGTCGGCTGCAGTGGTCCAGCTGTCCCTGGCAAGTAGCAGGTTACTCAGGCAAGACCGCTGAATCCGGAAACCGTGCTGGCAATCAGAGAGCAGTTTCTGGGTCTCCATGTGATCCGTTAAAGCGTCTGCGACGATCGATTCCATCACTTTGGAGATCGTAGATAGGAGAGTTATCGGTCGGTAATTGGCCGGATCTTTGCGAGTACCGCCTTTGTAGATTGGTGTAATAGTCCCACATTTCCAATCATTGGGAACTTTGCTTTGCAAGAAGAAATGGGTGAACAGCTCCGCTAGGGGTAAAGCTAGAGCTGCAGCGCACGCTCGCAAGAGCCGTGGGTGGAAACCATCAGCGCCAGGAGAGGCCGTTAGCCGCAGGGACTTGAGTTTCGCCAGGACCTTCTCCGGAGTGAAATGAACAGTCGTCAGGGAAGTTGAGAGTGAAACCGAAGAAGGTACCGTCGTTGTGTGCAGTGATGGAACGGAGAATGTGGATGCGTACTGCTTGCACAGAACGTCCGCTGCCTCGGTAGCTGATTTCGTGAGCCCTGTGGGGGTCGTCAATGCGGTGACACCGTGTTTGACTTGTCGAAGACTATTGACGTGTCTATACAAGGCTTTGGGATTGGATGAAAATTTACGCATAAGTTGACGCTGGTGCTCACTCTTATCTACTCGTACAAGATGGACGCATTGGTTACGGATGGATCGGTAATATTCCCACTGAGTGGCCGTTGGATGGGAGCGATAGTTTCTCCATGCCGTGTTCCTGGAGGCAATCCATTTCCGTGTACGACTTCGGATGAATGCTGGGCGTCTCTTTCCTATGGAAACTTCTTTGCACGTCGTCGTAGTGGAGCAGAGTTCACGTAGAGTAAGGCAAAAGCTTGACCACACGCTGTCGGCGCTCGATTGGGGGTTGGGTGACCAGTTGTTAGCGGAAATGAGAAGGTTCAACTTTCCGTAATCAGTCCAGCGTTTGGTATAAGTTGGCGTGCTGACGAGTTTTTCGGCGAAGCATATAAAATCGAAACGGAGGACGCAGGGGTCGCTAAGCCCCAAAGGGGCATCATACTCAACGTGCTCAACCATCAGTTCTTCGTTAGTGAGGACGAGATCTAGCAGGGACGGTTGGTTGTTGGATCGGAATCTGGTCGGCTGATACGTGTGGTTGTACAACGGGGCCGTGTGAAGAAGATCAATGAGGCCTGATGCAAAGGAGTTAGTAGACGGGACAGAGTGAAATAGACGGGGCAGATTGAAATCACCCATAATAAGAAAGTGTGTGCGCTTGTGGGATAACATAAGGTGGACGTCGTGCAGTAGTCGTGCATCCTTCTCGGGAGAGTTGTTTGGGGGGCGGTAAATGATACCAAGACAGCTGGAGTGTTTGGTGGTTAGTACGACCTCGCACCACATAGTGTCTGGAGACTGGAGGGAGGTGTTTGTTAACATGCTGCAGCTGAGGGAGATGTCATAGTACAGTGCGACACCGCCACCTGGGGTTGCGCGGTCAGAGCGGAGAACTGACATGTGAGGAAGCTGGATTTCACCGTCGGTTATGTCGCCGGAGAGCCACGTTTCCGTTATGGCTATTAGGTCCGCTGGTGTTGATAGAAGTCGGAGTTGGAGCTCCGGAAGTTTGGACATGAGGCCCTGTGCGTTCGTGTAGATACAGGTGAGGCCCGTTTGGGTGATGAGCGCGGGAGTAACTAGGGTGCTGCCGGTCAGCAGATGACCGGCAGTGCACCGTTTTTTTGGTTTAGAGGGTTGGAGCCGCTAAGGTTTGTAGTTGGGGAAACAAGGTGTGGGTCGTCGGAGCCCAGATGGGTGCTGGCGGATGGGTCGTTGAAAGTCTGAAGGTTGGAATGTGTAGGTGAGTAAAGTTCTTCAGGCAGTGAGGCAGGTGGTTCGGTGGTGGACCGACTGAGGACGAACTGGTCAGAGTGTGTCGGTACCGAGTTTGCTGCTGCTGCTGCCAGGGGTCTGTGGGAAGCTGTGCTCCTCGGCACCGGGTGCCCATCTGGACGCAGACGGATATCTGGTGGTGCTCGTCTTTTATTAGCATACCAGATGATGAGTGCATCGGTTGCCATGCTAGCGCTGAGGAATGTCACTTTCAGAAGACGGGGGGCTGTTCCTGTATAAGTTGCTGGACGAGGTAGGCGGTGAACGTCCGTTGTGATTACGTTGACAATATTTAGTGTCTGCTGAAGGAACCGCCATTGATTACAGTCATGCTGTTGTCGTTGTTGTAAGGTTGCGTCAACAGCATGCAGTTCTGGGACGCCACGCACAATGATGGAGCATGGTTGAGTGGGTGGCGTCAGTTGCTGTCTGCGCGCAGCGCGCTTAGTCCAAGGGATGTCGGGGAAGATACGAATTTGGTAAATGCCGAGAGACGCATTGTTTCGGAGTAGGTGTGCTGACAACAGGACATCCTCCATAGCCGGGCCTGGCTGCAAGTCAACACGCAGAAGTCTTGGCTTACCGGCGTTCGGAGATGAAGTGTGGCGAGTCAGTCTTGTGAGACTAATGGGTTTCGTTTCAGGGAGGTTTAACGCGGTACAGATTGAGCTCCACATAGTGGAATCATGAGAATGTCGATTCTGAAGTTGCGGGTCGTTGGACTCGGGCACGTTTGTACATATGACAGAATTAGGATCAGGGCTACTGGTTATTCGCCTAGACGAACGCGGATGTGAAGCGGTAGCAAACTTACTTGGTGGGCGGGCCTCCGTCGGAAGCGTTGGTCGTCGGCAAGTGTTGGGCAGACCAGCAGTTGGTAACGGTGAGACGGTACGTGCTTCAGGACGGTTGGGAGGTTGTTGTCGTCGTTTGGTTAGACCGTCGACTTTCCGCAATAGATTCTGTAGCTGTTCTTCCAGATCAAGCAAGCGCACTTCTGAGCGAGCATTGTTGCTAGGCGGCTCAGCGAATCGTGGTGACCGGGGCGACTGCGTCTGCGAATGCTTGTTACGCGGTGTGGAGGGCGGGTTAGTGGGAGACGAGATTACAGAACCAACCATAGGGCAAGTCGTTGAGGAAAGGTCGCAAGAAATATCCCGCACGTAGTTCGCAATTCTGGGAATGCAACCTGGGCAAATGTACCGCAGGACCGTCTGTGGATGCGAGCGACAGAATTCGATGTCAGCTGCATGGAGCGAGTTGTCACAAGGAGCGTGAACACGGTGAAGACAGATCGAGCAGGTGATGGCTTTGGAACGAGGTCCTACACGCTGAGTGCAGATAGAGCAGGTGTTCAGTAGCCGCATTGGCGTCGTGGGCGAGACCGAAATGATCGGCATGGTCAAACAGATGACGTACAGATGACACAAATATCTGCAAATAAACGTAGTGGACTACCTGTCTCAAGAGAACAGAATGCGCAGGAGGTCGCTATCCGCAGCCTTAATGTTCAGCTTGATTTTTTTTTAGTATCGCTTTTAACATTCAAGTTCAAGCGGGACTGGAACGATAGGATTATCCCTTGAGCGTTTCTTCT